CAGTACTTAATATGACTAATGTTGCTCATTATTATTTATAAGTTTTCGTAAATGCGTTACCGCTGGTATGGGGGAAATAATCAAATATTTACAAATTTAGGAAATTTGTTTGCAGCGCTCGCAGAACTGTATCTAAAGAAACAACGCAAGATTGCCACCCTTGATAGGGTCGCAACCCAGCCAGTACATTCTCCAGTCCACAATGACCAACTGTTCAGTCATGCACTCTTGTCTAGTACAGAATTCCCGTTCCATGAGAAAGCATAGAGACTGAAAACAGCCGCTACAGTAGCCGCTACTAGCTACTGTTCTGGTCTGTCGTCAGTCCACGGGCTGAAGTTTGTTTTTTCCTGCTGACTAACTGCAATTACCCAAAACCCAAGTCACTGTATTTAGTCATCAGGCGTCTTTGTCAGCACTAGCTCGATCCATACTGTATACTTCTTTTGACATTGCCTGTAAACTGGCAGTAGATACAATAATTATAAAAGTTACCGTTCTTTTAACGCTATATTTCCAGATTAAAACTAACCTAGAAAACACGGTCAATATTTCCTTGGATCGGATGGATGCTAAATATATTAAAAAGACGATCGCGTGTGCTTATTTGTCCAGACTGCTGTTTTTGGAGTATTATTACGCGAGATAAACCTTACCTATACAGTGTGCAACCGCTTACTAGAAAAAGTAATCTGGAGAAGAAGTGTGAGGATCAAATTTCCAGAAGGGGCACTCTGATGGGCAAAACTTGGTACATTTAATGTTTGTTTTTAACAATGTCACTAAGGCATCACCTCTCATCCCCTTCTCATTTAGCAATTTGTCCGCCTCTTTAAATCAGCGGTTTGTGATATCCAGTACCAATTGCATGGAATTATGGAAGTTCGGTAAGGCGTTATCGATATCACGAGGTTGTCGGTGGATCGGGGTTATTGGAGAAACAGGTCAATTGTTCCCGTAAAACGGTGAACACGCGGGTTTAGTGACTTGGTATGAAGTGGATCCACTTTAGTCTGACAGCCGACAATGTCTCATGCGTCTGACAAACATCATTTACCACGTCAACTGCAGCTAAACGCTCAAAACTTCGGACATGCACTAGGTAGTCAGAGACAAGAAGCTGCAAAATTGAAGTTACACGCGAAGTATTAGGCACCGTTGACAAGGCGACCTTTGTATCATATCGGACTAAGTGTCAACATCAGAGCAGGTGGGAGAATGACAAACTGCCGAACAAACGTAAAGAAAATACACCAGTGACGACTGGATCAGAGAAAAACTGCTGAAACAGTTTCAAGAAGCAGAGGCAACGATAGTAACAGTCCGAACGACTCAGACGGATGGGCGCATCAAAGTAGAGCAGTGGCAGTGTATGGAATTAAAAGCAGTGTCGTTTTTACAGTTGTACAACGCTAAAGGCTATAAAAGTTTCTAAAGCGTTCACATGACTACCGTCGGTAGCAAATGCAAAATAGTCTGGAAGTGACGACCACTTGAGTGGAATAGTGGTGTGATGTATTTATATGGTGACAGCTTGGTGCAGAACCATTCCCAGCGACTTACATTGAAGCATAAGCTGGTAGACTTGTTCGGGACAGCCCTGAGGAGCCTCCATCCGGGTTCCTTTTTCCAGTAGAACGTAGACATCTTGTAGTTCGACGCCAGGATAGGGTGTTGCTCCGTAGGTGGCGATCTCCCACAACAAGACACCAAAAGCCCACACGTCGGACTTCACGGAAAACACGTTGTAGACAAGGCCCTCCGGTGCTGTCCACTTTATGGGAAACTTGGCACCCTCACGGGCTCGATAGGTCTCGTCTCGCTCCATGTACCGGGCCAGGCCAAAGTCTGCGACCTTCACGGTGTTGTCAGCACCTACCAGGCAATTGCGAGCGGCCAGATCACTAAAAGAGGATTTGGCGGATTTTCATTACGACGAATGCAGACATAGGCGCGTTAAAACAGAACGTTCGCAGACTTAAAAAACATAGGCACGCAGAATTGGGAAGGCTTATTTAAAAAATGGCAGCATCATGTACTCAGTGGCACTGTGAAGGCATTCTGAAACGCCTCGTTCGAAGACTGAGCAAGGTGAAATTGTTTTAATATTTCTTCAGCGTGATAGACAACACCAGTTTTCGTCAAATGTGTCGATGAGAAGTAAAGATTTACTAGTTAGTTGTTTAAGATGATCAAAGGCGAAAACATCGATTAGAAATAGATATGGAAATAGGGAATTCGTACAGACAGAAAGCATCTGTCTCAGGACAGAAATGAACAATTAACTGACCTCAATTATTATCGAGTGATCTGCCTACTAAGACGCCAGTTAATGGGATAAATGTGTTAAAGGGATAAAACTTGTGTGTGAGTCACAAGGGGGACATATTTTAAAGATCCCAAATCTTGTGCAGGGATTAGTGGTATTGTGTGATGAAGACGGACTCAATTCATCCGTCGTTGCTGGGGAATATTTGGTCTAGGCGAGTTTTCTACGGTCGCGTAGATTGTGTTTTTGATACTGTCCTATCTGAGGCTTCGGCTGATTGGAAGCCAACCATAAGAACATGCAGAAGGAGGAGCTTAAGGGCTGCTTACGCTCGCCACGTCCCAATGCCGTTATTGGGCTCGGCATTATCATACAGAACAGCCGATGCGTCATACCTCAGTCCCCTATGGACTGGTAACGCTCTCGCCGCTAGTCCGGGGCTGCTTAGTCATCAGATATACGTCTGCTTACTTCGCAGCTAGCTGTCCCAATTTTTGCCCGCTAAGGAAGCGCTAGGTATGCAGCAGACAGGCCAACGGGATTACTCGAATTTTTGGTTGCAGAGCAAAACCCGCGATCGGGGGCACCCGCAAAAAAAAGCGAGAATTACTTTCTTAAGGCAAGTTGATTGGTGGTGCTGCGTTCTCCCCGCTACGTACATTTACTAGACATTCCTTCGGCCAACTAGTGATAACGAGAAAACACCGCAGCGGACCAACTAATTGTTTTACTAAACTCCCTCTCCAGACTCTCGGCGATTTTGCAAATGACGAACTCTAAGGAGCAAGACGCCACCGTCGAGATTTTGTTTCCTATTAAAGAAGGCAGTGACAGAGACAGTTTCGGTGCTTCGGAAGGCTTGTGGGACGGAAGCTCTAGGCCAGACGACAATGTACGAGTGGTTTGTCTGCTTAATAAATGGCCAAATGTCGCTTGAAGATGAACCCACTCGAGTTGGCGTGACTAAAATATCACAACAAGCAAAATCCACTTTGAAGTCCATGCCGTTTTGTTCTTTCGACGTCAGAGACGCTTTTCACACTGAATTTGTTACTCCTCGCACAACAGCGAGCCAACATTACTATCTCGAAGGGCCGGGGCGATTGCTTGAGGCTGTGAGACGAAAATAGCATAAAGGGTAAGCGTTTTTAGAATGTGGAAGAGGTTAATAAAAAAATCTGGGGCACTTAGCAGAAAGGTGTTTGGGACGGGTGCATATCGTCCAATGAACGGTATTTGGGGGGGGGAGAGTCATGTTTTCAAGATGTCCTTGTAAATAAGAACGCTCAAAGAAATAATCCTCGTTTTTGGATACATCCTCGGATCGGAGCCAATCGTGAAAGGTAACATTATTTCTCAGCGTGAAGTTAACCGTTTTTGTTATCTCTCTCCCTCATAACGAGTACTCATCATCCGTTCTGTCGATTGTTGGCAATTACATTAGGAACATTAACTGGACGCTTTTTCTGTTCAGTGGATCAGGCAGTGTTCATGATGAACCATCACGGCAAATAGAACGTTTGTTTACTAAAATACTTCCCAACGTTCTCAACCAATTCGCTATAACGAGCTTCAAGGAACAATGCGCCAAGCGTGGTTCGTTTTTTTCGATATCAGAGGAGTCGTTCGCACTCAATTCGTTCCTCCGGGCACCACAGTAAAGTGATGATGCTATCTGTAAGTGCTGAAGCTAATGTCTGAAAAAGCGACCCGAATTTTGACGATCAGGGGGCACTGGCTGCTTCATCATTACAACGCGCCTGCCCAAACAGTGTCATACATTAACCTGCTTAACGTTGGGTAGAAGCATGACAAGGGTTCCTCAACACCCTAATCGCCGGACCTAGCCCTTTGCGACTTCCTATGTCCAAGAATGAAGAGAAACCAAGAGGGAATGCCCTTTCAG